TATGTATACAAGTGGCAAAACTTTTCCAAGTCTATTATTATGTTCTATGGCTTTGTTGTTTGCAAAGTGCCAATAATAACACAAATCGATTACGAGACATTTTGTTACGCGGAAACGGAAAATTATAAATAGGGTCCGTTGACCAATATTTAATTAGCAGCGTTTGTTTACTAGACCCATCTAAATCAACAGTCCAATAAATACTTTCATTTCTTCGAAAATAGTGAGTTTCCATCTCTTCATTCGAGCGTGTTCGGTGGTTAAATGTTAAAGTAATTTTTGGTCTACATATCTGTTCGTTCCCGTGACCAGAAGGCTCATTATTTTTTCATTCAAAAATAATGAAAGAACTTCACCTGATGTAATAATATCGGAAGCTAATCAGAGGCCCACTTTTCCCAGTGAATGTAAATTTTTGTTTGTTGGTAAACTCGTAAACACTAGATATTGTCCAATGAACAAACAGTACGGTCAGTTCGTGCTCTTCTATATCCAATTCTTCTAACATTTCCTCCAGATCTTCACTTTCGTACTCATCCTCGTTATTCGAATTTGAACTTGAAATTTTATTTATAATCTTCTGAAACTATTTCTTCATCACTGCTCTGCTCACTTTCAATTATATTTTTACACTGAATATATTGGGGGCAACAGAAATATTTTGAGGATAAAACATCGCTAATATGGTTGTACGATGTGAAGGCTTTGGAACGCAGAATGAAACTGATGAACCAAATCGAATGGACCAGACGGCTGGGAAAATATTCTAAACAAAAATTGTCTCGATTTTTCTAATCTAAACACACAAGTACCAGTCTTGAGCTGACAAAAACAAGTATCAACTCGAAACACAGCCAGATTTCTCTGTTGCCCCCAATATATTCAGTGACAAATGATTAGTTATTGCAGATCAAGAATTAAAAACTAGAAAAGAAATCGATTTTGAAACAATCTCAATTATAGTACAGAGTCAAGTAGATTAATTATAAGAAGACTATTAGTCGATGACGCTTAAATTTGAACCCCGCAGGATTCTCGCTAGGCGTTCAACGTGTTAAAAGTCTAAAATAAGAGAAATAAATAAGATATAAAGCATGGCTTCGTTGTTAACATGAGATAAAATTTGGCACATGAATTATATGATTTTTGTCTTAAACAATATGCATACGAAGTATGTAAAAGTATGCTACATCTCTCTTTTGAGTTTCAACGAATTTTTTAGAAGATAAGTGAAAACCAGAAGTAAAAACATGTGATTAGGATATGATAAATATTAATTTGTGTTGATTAACATTGCATCAATTATTTGTGTTTCAATCGTGTAAGTGAGCAGTCATTTACTAAGAAATTTTCTTAAGATTATCACAGAAATAAAACGAAATCATCTTAGATTCGTAATACTATTATTAAAAAATTCTTTCAATAATACACATATTTTATAAGATAAGTACAAGATTTTACGATAATTTGAACATTTTAAAACATATTTTATGTTTATTTACATAAACAGAATAAAGAACAGATTCTTACTCTTTAAAAAATGAGCATTTCAAACTGAAAAATTGCAAAAAAAATCAAAAGATCACTAAAACGATTACATAAACCTACCACGATCATTTTTAAACTTTCATTTAAAATTCTATACACATAATGTAATATTACATTGTAATTTAATTTCACGACTTTTTTATAATATACATATAGTGAGTTTTTGAATATTTCAATATTTGTTGTAATTTAATTTCACGACTCTTTTTATAATATAACGTATAATGAATTTTTTAATATTCGTTTTTTCTACGAAATATATGTAATTTGTCCGGTCATTTGATCGGTTCAAAGATTTAAGTTTTTTTGTAACGTTGTTTTCTCGAAAAATCCAAATCTAAATGTATACAATAGCTACAAATGTAAGGCAATCTCTAAATGCGGCATATCTTCGACTAAAACCGAAACTAGCTTTTGATACATAATCTGAAGAAGTGCGATAAATGGTGAATACGTGGCAAAACTTTTATTTGTACCTATAAATCCAGATCTTAAAATTAGAAGTATAATTTTGTAACTGTAGAAGAGAGGATCTAACAAAACTTATAAAGAGCTTACTACACTTTCAGGTGCCATTTTTGAAGAAAGTAAATGTAAGAACTACCAATAATCGTATTTCATCTTCGTTACATTCTTTTGTTCCTAATATTTAACTTTGTTCCAAAAATGTTGAGACAAGAAATATCAAGTTATTAAAAAAATAAATAATAAGACGAAGAGTGTTCAAAAATCAATGAACAGGAATTTTCTGAAACTGAGGATAATAAAATATAAAATGATTATGATCTATTTGACACTAACATGATTAAAAATGAGTCGAAACTTTGGAGGAGGCAGTGTAATGATATGGGCTGTATTCGGTTATAATACACCTGTAATGTCGACCTTCCATCAAAGACAAATACTAAAATATAACAATACATATTAGAATATGTATTGAATGAGTGACAATAATTGATGGACCAATTTTCATATTTGAACATGACAACGCTCCAATTCACCGTGCAAAAGCTATTCAAAGAATGAATGTTGACATTTTGCCTTGGCCATCAAAGAGTCCTGACATGAATCTTATGGAAAATCTTTGAGAAATTTTAATACAGAAGGTGTATTGCCAATATTATAACACTGAACGACTTAAAAATAGAATAAATGAGATGCGGTTTCTTCATCTCTTGAATCAGAAATTTTACACAAATTAATGTGCTACACAAGATGTTCGAGGTGATTAAAAATAAAGGAGAATAAACTAAATATCGAGGTTTTTGTTTTTATTTATTAATAGTATTGTGATAAATTCTTTATCATTTTTTTAAATTTTGGTTAAACTTT